GAATAACTGGCATAAATTCCTTAAATTTTCTGAATTGCAATCCTTAAATTTAGGCGATATTAAACATATATGGGAAATGAGGTCAATTTGAGCATTGAAAACATTGTTGTCTCTAATTCGGAAATGTCGGTTGTTTCTTAATTTGGGTTTCGTGTGATCGTTTAATTGTCCGGTCGGTCGGTCGTTCGACAGTTACATACATTAATATATTTTTTTTCGGTGGCTAAAATCAAAAAGTATGTGGTGTTTAAAGAGAGTCACTGAGTATGTTTCTTTTAAGAAAAAAATTTATCTCCGTGATACATTATTATTGCGAACGTTTTGAATAAAACGTTATTATAAAATAAATTAATGAAGTGGATGAATTAAAAACTTATTAAATATTGATTTGTTGTGGTTTTATAAAAACTAAGAGAAATTAAAGTCAACGCCTGAGTTGGTAAATGTCTGCTGGGTTCTCACATACAATAATTCATATTAAACAAAGGTAAGTCCAATTACTTAATATGTATTTTTATTCAGTTAACCTTTTTGATAGTTACATACAAAAATAAAAACAATTTCTTCTATTTGCCCTAGACAAAAATATTAATTGAAAGGAGGTTGTTTATAAATTTTCCATAGAAGACTACAAAAATATTCTATAAAATCTAGTTTTTTGGTCAAAAGCACAAAAAAAAAAAAATAAAATATATTTAATAAAATGTATAGCCGATTTGTCTATGCCCGTCAGTCTGTCCTTTTAAATCAAGAATTTGGCCTCTTCAATTACGTTGTTTCAATGATAACTATGTGTTATCTGTAACACATCGAAATATTGGTCCAAGATATATGATGATATGGATCTTCATATTTCGCCGAGCTAAATTTATCCAGAAATGTGTGTCTGTCCGTCTGCCCATGTTAATTTTTAATCACGCTGTAGGTCGCATTTATGACCCGATCCTTACGAAATTTCGCATGGAGGTAGAGGTTCGGTCAGAATAGAAGCCTATTTTTAGATTAGATAATCGCAAAGTTATTAGGGGACCAAATACTGAAAAAATTGGGTAAGGGTTGGTTTCAGAATAACAATATATTGTTTTAGTAGATATATAGGGGTTTACAATAAATTAGACTACAATCGACTCGGAATTTTGCATAATATAACTCAAGAACGGCTGTACGGATTCGAATAATTCACATCAACACGGAATTGTCTGTTGGCAGAAAAGGATAAAATCTAATAAATTCCATAAAAATATACCAATAAAAACGTGAATATTTTTGTTACATTTTTCATTTTATTTTTTCTTTGTCATTTTTTTTTTTTAATTTGTCTTTCTATTTTTAATTTTACATTTTGTAATATTTTTTGTTTCGGAAGAAGAAAATCTAATTAGTGAACGTCAAAATGTCATTCAATAAGAATGGAAAATACTAAATTGCAGCCCATTTAGTCGTAATTGAGAAGAGAATCAGGGATTTACACTATATGAGGGTCATGCCAAATAGCTTATTTATATCCTCTTAGACTAAAAGGTCGATTCGATTGGAAAATGCATCAAAAAATCAAAATACGAACTGGTCAAATTGCTGGAAAATATTTCACAAATCGGAACATTAGAGCTCATGCCGTTGGAAATGTCGCAGAAACCTGCAAAATAACGAGTGTTAGAGGGACAAGACGAGTGTATATACCTAAAAGCGGATTGATATACATCTTTCAATATCAATCATCGTAAGTATCTATCATAAATATTGCACCTTTTATAAAGTCTCAAGGGACGGGTGGGCCGACAAATGGACATGGTGTTAATGACTATAATTGTTACCTCTAGATTCCCAACGAATATTTTGTGGTTTAACACGCTATTAGAAATTTTTTCAGTAGATGTTTATTTCCATTCATAACTTTCCGACACCGGTCTATTTTAATAAGGAAATAATATTGAATATGGAAGGTGTAATACAGGTGTTCATTAACAATTGTTCTAATTTATCATTTAAATGGGTTCAAAAGACTGCAACTATAATGTACAAAACAAGGAAAACATCTACAATCTTAAACCATTAAAGCTGTCAATTTGAGAGATTGGAGGCAACTTAAAGCCAATAGTTTTTATTTTATTTTATTTGAAGCCATTCCGGTGAATAATGTAGCTAAAATCATCAAAATACCGAATATCGGGAGGTGCCGTCATATGGGGCTATCCGAAGACGTGGACCTTTTCTGTCATAGGCTGTAGTATCCATTATGAACTTCAAGTACCAAATTTGAAACAATTCCGTTGAATAATGTGAGGTACCTATATATGGGGACTATACCAAAACGTGGACCTACATGACCCAATTTCAATACTGAAAGTCCTGAAGACATAGTACATATTTGAGTAAAATTTTATTAACCTACTTCATTTCGTTCGGATCATCATCATCAAATCACTCTACCGATTTCCACAGACGGACGGACATAGCTAAATGGACCATACTATGTTGGAGGGTATAAAAAGCCACAATTGAAACTGTTTAGCATTGACAAATCCACGTTTGCAGTTCTAAAACTCTATAGAAAATCTTTTAAAGTCTACATGTATATATATGTAACAATTCATAATATGATAGTCCTTAAAAATATTCTTAAACATATCCTTATAATCCTTGAATAATTACTTTAAAAATCCACGAATTAAGGTCAGATTATTCTTGAAAATTACTTTAAAAATTCAACAAATTAAGGCGTGATTATCCTTAAACAAGGAAGCAAAGGCTATAGTCGTGCGGGGCCGACCATGTGCTACCCTAAAACACTACAATATGTTGGATCCCCGCTCATGTCCAAATCCATTTCGGAAGATTTCTATTTTGAAATTATGTCACGGAGTACTGCCCAGCTATTACCCTTAGCATTTTGACCTGAAATATTTTCCCAATATTTATGCACTCCGTCGTACTGTTAGTTTTTGTGGTCCATTTTACGGCTAAATATAACCCAATGGTCATCCAAAATGCTAGAATTCTTCCCTGTCCTTAACTCTCTTCACAGGCGTGTCGATTGGCTTCAATTGTGTGTTCTGTTATTGGTTCATTTGAACCCCTAAATATTTTGCGATCATCTCCAAAAGCAAGAGGCAAATATAGTAGACAAGCAATTCATATAGATGAGTCTAAATTTGGAGACACAGAGGGGTCTCCAAATTTAGACTCATCTATATGAATTGCTTGTCTACTATATTTGGCTATATTTGTCAGCGAAATCAGCATAAACAAGTAAGCAAAGGCTACAGTCGAGCGGGGCCGACCGTTGAATACCCTACAACACTATTATAAACGATACAGTTTATATAGGCGAGATACTCGAGAGAATTCCACAAGATATTGTGAAAAATAATAAAAGAAAACCATAAGGTTTCGTTTTCTAATTTTCGAATAATAGAAACTTAAACTAATTTGCTCATTTCCAATTTATTTGTAGATGTTGCACTTAAATGGTCTTCCTAGATCTGGAACCAATATTTCCCAAAGATCTATAATCTCTCAGAAATGGCAAAAGATTAACATTTACTATTGGTTTTTGACTAAAACGCATCTATATGAGATACAGACATTTGACTATATTCTTAAACGAAATCAGCGTTAACGAAATAGTCAGAAGTGCGTCTTTCCTGCATTTATGAATTCTCCAAAAAGTCGCTGGAATGGACATTTTCGTATTTAGTCTACAAAAGTTGGAAAACTATTTCACACATTAAATATTTTTGGATGGCCATCCGAAACTGCTTGACTTTTGCAATGACGGACAGACGGACGGACATACATAGCTAGATCGACTCAGCTCGGCGAGCTAGGAAGATCCATATATAATTTCCTATATGGGAAACCAATATTTCGAGGTGTTACATAAATTCTGGCCCAATCAAACTTATAATACCCCCAACACATAGTGTTGTAGGGTATAAAAAGTAATGTTGGTAAAATTTGACTTTTATTTATCACAAATGCTATGTTCTATTTCAACCACTAAATATTATCCGATGGCCAAATTGGAAAGGCTTCTGCCCAACCCAAAGCTCTAGCCCCATGCTAACTTTCGCTTCGATTGGTCTATAATTGTGACCTGTAGGGTAACTGCAAAATCAGAAAATTTTTCAGTTTTTGGTCCATTTCAACACCTAAATATTATGCGATCATCTCCAAAAGAAATAGGGTTCTATTCTGACCTTAACCCCACCTACATTCTAAATTTCGTGAAGATCGGACCATAATTGCGACCTGTAGAGTGATTACAAATTAACATGGACAGACGGACGGACGGACATACATAGCTAGATCGACTCAGCTCGGCGAGATAGGAAGATCCATATATACTTTCCTATGTGGGAAACCAATATTTCGAGGTGTTACATAATTTTTGGCCCAATCAAACTTATAATACCCCCAACACATAGTGTTGTAGGGTATAAAAATACTTCAAAAATCCATGAATTAAGCCCTGATTATACTTGAAAAAATACTTAAAAAATTCACGAATTAAGCCTTGATTATCCTTGAAAAGAAAATATTTTAAAAATCCACGAATTAAGTCCTGATTGTTCTTCAAAAATTACGTTAAAAATCCACGAATTAAGCCCTAATTATACTTCAAAAAGTATTTATAGAATTTGCACGATTATATCTGTAATAATCCGACGATTAGCTTAACGTTGGCAATCCTTGTAAAATTATTCGTAAGTAAATCAATTTGATATCAACATTTATTTTTCTAAAAATTTGTTGATTGTTCGTCAAAAAAAAAAAAAAAAAAAAAAAAAAACTGAAACAGACGATTTATGATTCCGCTGGTCCCTAAGAAAAAATGATTATAACACTTATAACCCTTGAAATAGGGATTATAGACTCGAAAATATTTTCTTAATTTCACGATTGTACTTCTTGAAAATAAACGTTTGATTGTTTTCTAATTAAAACGCCACGATATTCTTTTAATTATTTTATTTTTATTTAAATTTATTTTTGTCTTACTGAGCAATGTTGTATATGTATATAAATGATCGTTTTTGCAGTTTGATTTTGATGTATATAATATTTGTTGTTGTTATATATAAAAAAAATAAACAAAAAAAAGGAGGAGGATGATTGCAATGAAAAATACTTAATAAATTTTTTCTATTTAAAAATAATATGTACACAAAGATATATAAAAAATTAAACAAAATAATATGATTTTACAAATGTCATTAAAAACAAAAAATGGACAAAAACAAAAGATGGATGTGCGAAACAAAATTAACAAAAGAACAATAATTATAATAAATTAGAAAGTCTCGTTTGGACTTGTAATGGAAACTAAATGCAACAAAGCACATACAAAACAAGACGTTTTTGAATATTGTACGAAGGAAAACAAAAACAAGTGGGAGGAAAGGAGACATATAAAAAATGACTTAGAATAGATGGATACATTGTGAGAGGCAACAAAATGAGAGAAAATTAGAAAGTAACAGCAAATCTTAATACGTTATTGTAGAATGATCCTTGAGTATTTTGTTGGAAAGTTTTGAGCGGGGGAGGGGTACTTTAGACATTATTATTTAACTGAGACTGAAAAGAAAAACGCAGGGCGTGCATCAAAAACCTGACCGTTTTCGTTTATTTTTTGCGGAAATTCAGCAAAGTATCGGGAATTTCATTGATGTAGTTCTGCAAAGAAAAATGGGGGAAAAATAATTAATAAACTGGTAGGAAATCAAAAGGTTTGCTACTTACAAAAACTGGAGAAGCTATATCAGGACTAGCATAATCGGCCCATTTGGTCAAATCAATTGAGGGTATAACACCGCTCTTGCAGGGTACACGAGGATTGCTAAAGGGTTACAAAAATATTTGTTAAAATTCGTTATGAATCTCCTAGACATTTTCTAAACTTACATTTCATGATCAGGCAATACCATGGGATATATTTGTACTGTATCGATCAAATCCGTATTGTCACAAATCAAACGCGACAATTTGGCCTTGCGGATTTCTTGCAATTGTTCGGGAGTAAAGGAGGATGGCTGATTTGGCAATTCATACCAGAAACGATCACCACGTCTCAAATAGCTCATCTGGGTGGCAATGACACAGGCGAAGGTGGGACCCAACATAGAACCGGGCAATGATTTTTCGGACACACCACCAGACCACAAATCAATATCAGCAGGGTGTCTGTTAAAAATGAATTTATTTTATTAAAATGTCCAAAACTACTTCAAATCTCCCCTCAACTTACTCAAATATACTTTGATATCTCAAAATGGTATCGTTGGGCATGGAGCCAAACATCTCGTCCCATGTATTGGAGGTGGGTAGACCACAGAATTTACGGAATTCCATATAGCCGGGTATACCGAATTCACGACCACGTTGCATGTTAAACGACACCAAGTCCATACCGAATCTAGCACCTTCTTTCTTGAACAAATGATTGGTAACCTCTTGGGTAATTGAGTCATCCATAGCCTGGGCCACCTGGTTCATCAGACCCATAAAGTATTCATCCAAAACACCAGCCCTGTACAAATCATAGGGACGTCTAATCAAATCGGACAACCGTTTCGAGGCAATAAACTTGTGGGCCTTGGACCAACGTTCAACAGCCGTTGGCAGAAGCGAGTGGCCAAAACGGAATGCAGCACCAGCAAATGAATCAATGATACCGGGATTGACCTTCGGATCATAGCCATCCCAATAGCCATCCTTTTGCAATACCAAACCGAATTTCTCCATCACCTCCTTGCCCAACAAAATTGGCAAGAATTCATTATAGGTCACATGCTGAACAATGGCAATGTTAATTCTTCTAGCCTCCTGGAACAAAGTTTCATCATCCCAATGTTTGTTGATTTGCGATAGGCCGGTAGCGATGCGATTATGTTCTCTTGCCATAAGGGTGTGCATGCAGGTCAAAACCAATTGTTCATTGACACGAATTTCACCAGCCTCAAAACAGAACATACTCTTGTTAGGACGAGTACAACCTTCATCTGGAATGTCCAATTTCAGGGGCAACAAATCTTTCAAGCCATATTCCTGGAAAACGGGATTCATACGCAATAGACCACCATAGCCAGTACGCAGCTTGCGAGCGAATTTCTCATTAACACCATAAACGGTATTGGCATCAATGACACCAGTCAGCGTGTTGAATTGTTGGCGGGAACCTGGAAAGATATTGAAAATTAATATAAAATATTTTAAAATAAAATGTTAATTTGGAGATTTTGACCACAAATCTTCGTAATTTTGAAATTTTAGATATGTATCTATGGAGATGTGTGGGAAACTGTTATAATAAAATGTATAAGCATTTATGCAATGACAAGTGTTTTCATAAATTCGACAAGTTATAACACTTTTAATATGTATAACACTTATTCTACCAATAACAGGCTGACTCACAATCGTATCCTATTTTGAGTCACTCTGTTTTAATTTCATTTAGCAAATACAAAAACCTTAATTGTTATACAGAAACTGATATAACACATTTGTAATATCAAGATTTTTGGAGACCAGCTCGAAAAAAAGACTTAATGAATCATTCCATTTTATATAAATATGTTTTATACAATTACAATTTTTTTCAGGAAATAGAAAAATATGAGATTTTTACAAGCCTGAGGATAAAGTTGAAAATATTTTAATCGAAATTAATTTTTATGTTTGAATTTTTGCCGGATCGTTGGAATAGTTACAGAAATTAAATTATATTTTGGTATGGAGTTGGAAACTGATTCTATGTAGGTCTTCGTTTTCCTATAGCGCTTATATAATGAAACCTTTGACAATTCGATATTTTGATGATGCTAGCCACATTTTCTATTGGATTTGTTTAAAGTTCGGTATTTGGGGTTTTGCCTTCGGTGGCAGAACACTGTCTATATAAGTCTACGTTTTTTATTTGCATGTAGGCAGGTTATGTTGTTAAATGGTCCATGTTTCCCTATAGCTCACTTTTGATGATTTTAGCTACATTATAGAATTCAAATTTCATATTGGAAGATGTTAATGGGTATTACAACCTACGACAAAAAAGTACTTCTTCAGGTTCACGATATAATGATACCCCTCCCTCTGAATATTTATGATTTTAGAGACATTATACAGCCGAATTATTTCCAATTTGGTATTTAAAGCTCGTAATGGGTACAACAGTTTATGACAAAAATTACATATACAATCCCACGTCTTCGTAAAGACCCCATTTTACGGTATCTCCCAAGATTTGATATTTTGATGATATTACCGACATTATTCAGCGGAATTGTTTAAAATTTCGTATTTGTATAGACTCAAGTCAGCTCGTCTATATAGAGAGAGAATCACTTCAGCTCGTCTATAGGGAGAGACTTACTTCAGCTCGTCTATAGGGAGCGACTCACTTCAGCTCGTCTATTGAGAGACTTACTTCAGCTTGGCTATGGAGACAGACTCGCTTTAGCTTGCCTATGGAGAGAGACTCGCTTAAGCTCGTCTATGGTTAGTGAGGAACTCACTTCAGCTCGTCTATAGGGAGGGAGAGGAACTCACTTCAGCTCTATAGAGAGAGAAGAACTCACTTCAGCTCGTCTATTGAGAGACTTACTTCAGCTTGGCTATGGGGAGAGACTCGCTTCAGCTTGGCTATAAAGAGAGCCTCGTTTCAGCTCGTCTATAGAGAAATACTCACTCTTCTACAAAGAGAGAGAGACTCACTTTAGCTCGTCTATATAGAGAGCCTCCATTTAGCTCGCCTATATAGAGAGTCTCCTTTCAGCTAGTCTATATATAGAGACTCACGTCAGCTCGTTTATAGAGAGAGTTACTCACTTCAGCTCATCTATAGAGAAAGGGACTCACTTCACTCACTATAGCTCGTCTATAAAGTTTATTATAAAGGCTAGCTGACAGGCCTTATAAAATCTTAGGCAGTTTTTTCATTGTTCTCTTTGTAAGATCCCAAAAGAAAGAAAAAATACTTGTTTTTTATAATTTTGCTATTAATTTGTCGTTTTTACTATTTTTTCATTAATTTTTGCCATTTAACCACTAAACCAAGAGTGTAAATATTTTAAAAAACCTTCCTTAGAATGGGATTTATTGTTTTTATGTTGTGGTCCTTCTGGTGAATTTTTTAAACATTTTCAAATACGCTGAGACCCTGGGGCTTGGTTTTATAAAATTGTTCAAAGCTTTTGTTGAGTTTCATTAGCGTGCAATTTTTAATGTTTTAATCCTTTGTCGAGTTCCATTCGCGTGTTTTTTAAACATTTTTAAAGCCTATGCTAAGATCCTTAGGCTAGGATTTGAATTTTATTTCCAAAGCTATGTAGAGGCCATTTAGTGTGCATTAAAAAAAAAAATCAGTCTACGCTGAATTCCAAAGCCATTGTCGAGTTACTTAATTTCTTTTTTTTTTTCAAAGACTATTTTGGGGTTTAAGTTTTTGAACATTTTTCGAAGTCAGTGTTGACGTCCTTAGGCTTGTATTTTTTAAACATTTTCAGTGGCTATGCTGGGGTCTTTAGGCGTGGTTTTCTTTTGTCGCCATGGACGTGGATTTTTTTTATTTATTCAATAATTTTTATTTTTCAAACCCTATTTCTAGCTCCTGGGGTGTATTTTTTACTTAGTTTTTCAAGTCCAGCATGAGTTCTTTTTTCCATTCCAAAATTGGTGAATGGAAATCGACAAATACTTCTTCAACTTATTTGTCGATTTCTATTCACTAAATAGTAACTGCTTATTTCGGAGGACATTCCCTTGTAATCATAATGAGTAAGTAGTTTTATTTGTAAGAAGTTACGTATCTACAAAGACTTCCATGCATGGAGCGCTTTAAAACACTCAAGATTCACAAAACAGTGCTACACAACTGAATTGGGTGTACTTCTAAATTGGATATGTCGATAATTTTCCTTCAAAATTACATATGCTCTGCAGAATTACATAAGCAGTAAATAAAGAACCCAGGATGTTTATTTTGTCCGGGTTCATAGACAAAAGCAAAGCCAATTATTTATTTTGAGGTCACTGAATCCCGTAAATATTTTTGAGTAATTTGTAATGAGAGATTTCGGCTATAAATGTGCTGAATATTCATCCAGGAGGGCATGATTTATAACGAATGTCAGCATCAGAAAGTAATCAGCCAACGGAATAATAAATAAAAAAGCTAAATTTGTCTATTCAGTTGACTTGTTCTTAATCCAGCAAAAATACGACAATTTAATGGAACAATTACGAAAAAGAATGCAGATAAACTGCTGACCCTTTTAGAACCCGCGATTGTGATTTTTTTTATAAAAACTGTCATGTTAAAAAAATTGCATAAAATTAGCGCTATTGTTTTGACACATAAGTCTCCGAAAAGGCCACCATCCATTTAGCCCACCCTGTCAAATCGAATTAAATTAAAAAAAAAATATTTTGTTTTATGAAAACATTCAAAACTGTTGCTCCGGGGCGTTGACAGTCATACACGTCTAAACGATCTTAAAAACAACGCCTACTCCAAGACCAACCAGTCAGTCGGCCAACCATGCCATTTGTTTATGCTTTACAACAGCATAAAAGCTGTCAATCACATCAAAAATCCGTTCATTCGTCCGTCCGTCCATCCGTCGAACATAAAAGTGATTTAAACGTTTGCTTTGGTTTCGATTTTTCTTTTGTGAAAACTAAACGCGAAGAGTAGGGAGAACAATTATGTTCGAATAAACACTCATACAGCGTGGCAAATTGTTGATTAAACGTGAACATGATTCCATTAAAACGTCAACCATTCAACTACCGTTGAATAATGACGGACTATCCCTTGGCAGTGAATAAATGAATGGTATGGAGTGAAGTTGATTTGATTTTGGTTGAGTTATTCGATCGAACGAATCATGGTCAAAAATTAAAATAATATCGATCGATTATGTTAAATGCTGACTTACCCAAACGACAGCCAGGTCTAGGTGAAGGGAAACCACGTACAAAATCAATGCACTTAACATTGAACAGGCGATAGAAATAATCATCATCGGGCACACGGATCTCATTACAATAGGGATGCTTCAAATGCAGCGGACGTTTGCAACACTCCTCGGGATCGTTGCGATTGATGGGATCTACGGGAAGAGAGAGCAAAATTAAAATATGCTAATTCATTTTTGAAAGTCTACCACCTACCCAAGGGAGTGCCGGTGAGCGTGAAATCGTGATCCATAAATTGACCCCAAGCAATGACCATTACAGTGCCAGCATGATCGTGATAACCATCATCGGGATGCATGGTGCGCGACACAACACGTGAGAAGGGCAAATCGCGACCAGTCACCGAAATACGTGGAGCATTGATACCATCGGCATAGAGGGGACCAATCAGACGTTGAAACGGTGCCATGGCAGCACCCCATGTGGGATGTTCAATGTTGTTGCACAAACCATCGAAACGTCTGTACTTACCTGGGCGGCACTCAACGCCGGAGAAGAAGGGCGGGCACACTTCGCGGATCAACGTCTTGGAGGTGTCGATGGTGGGCAGACCCTTTTCAATTTCTTCATATGACAAGCCATAACTGTAAAGTAAAATGAAAACAAGACAAACATAAACAGAGGTTCAATTAAGGCACATGTGAATGGCATACAAGAAACCAAAAAAAAAAAAAAAATATTTCAAATTTTTGAAGTGGAAATAGCAATTGTTTCCATTGAAAATATTTAAAAATGAGTATTTCTAGAAAATATGGAATTTTTCCATATTTGGACTGAAATTTGTAATAGCCTACATTTTATGAAATAATTTTCAAATATTTCCCATTTAAAAATTCTCAGAAATCTCAGTTACTCCAAGAAAAACGATATCTTCGGTGCAATATCAATCGGGTTATTTTTCTTTATTTGCAAATACAAATTGAGCACATAACTTACTTAAATGGCTGGTCAAGTTATTGCCTAGAAAAAAATGCTATTGTAGCTGGCAAAAAAAGACAAAAACTAATTGCCATTGCGGCATAACAAATATAGTCGATTTTATTTCATAACCAAACTAAACTTGTTTTAAATATTTAATTAGATCGGCGAGAAATGTATACCAATGTGACCAAAGATTAATAATAAATTAGTATAGGCAAGATTTAAGTTTTTGGCAAATTTGTCAATTTGCTGTTATATTTGGTAAGAATTTAAAAATCATTTAAAGCCGACGAAAGTACAGCAAAGCAGTAGAATTTCTGTGCAAAATGCATGGAAGACTCATTAGAAATAGCCGAACTTTTAATACCCTCCACCATTTGGAAGGAACTTGAAAATTTTCAAAAAAAAAAAAAACTTGAAGACGGGGACCTGCTTACGAAATTTTGTCATAGGCTGTAGTACCCATTACGAACTTCAAATACCAAATTTGAAAAAATTCCGGTGAATAATGTCGGTAAAATCATCAAAATACCGAATATCGGAATGCTATACAAAGACGGGGACCTACATACTAAAATGTTTGTCATAGGCTGTAGTACCCATTACGAACTTTAAATATAAAATTAGAAACAATTCCGGTGAATAATGTCGGTAAAATCATCAAAATACCGAGTATTGGGAGGTACCATCATATGGGGGCTATACGAAGGCGTGGACCTGCATATAACATTTTTTTTGTCATAGGCCGTAGTACCCGTTACGAACTTGAAATATGCAATACTGTCGCTAAAATCATAAAAATACCGACCGACAGACGGACTGACAGACAAACAGACAGAAGGACATCGCTAGATCGTTTTAGAATTTTATGCTGATCCAGAATATATATACTTTGTAGGGTCTATTATAAATATTTCGAGGAGTTACAAACGGAATGACAAAGTTAATATACGCTCCATAGAATGGTAGAGGGTATAAAAATTATAAAGAGTGGGTGAGAGAATGCAGTCACTGATAGGGTCAACCAAAGGGGCCAGAAACCTAAGATAAAACATACAGCAAAATATTTCAGCCATATGATCTATATACTATACTGTTGCATTAAAAGGAGTTGGAAAATACTCGGTCGGTTTGTGGACAGATATATGTCCTCAGTATTTGGTTTGTTCAATGTTTGGACTAAATCGTAGAACCCACATTTAAATAAAATATATGAATTTTCAAAACATTGATCTCTTGTCAAGGGGGTACCAAAAGGCGATGATCATTTTGACGTTGGAAGGAGCAAAAACCTTGAGACGTGGGATGTTTAAAAATATCAGGTACAAATTTCAGAATTTATGGAAGTTATTCAGAGCTAAGATTTCATTGTTATGATTCGCAAGTTAAACACACTCTAAGAGAACTAGTTTTATACGAAGTTAATTCTCCACTCTATTGTTTTATGTAGGAGAGCTCGCTATATACTTTTGTTTTGAAGAATAGGAGTGAGAGTCAAAATGCACGAATCAGAATTCGTATAGTGCATACCTTTGCATACTTACAAATATAAGAAAGTTATGGCGAAATCTAAAAGAGTACCCGCAAGAGTAGATTGTGCTTAATTTCTTGCAAATTTTACTCCCACTCATAAACGGTCGAAGCATTATTATTATTTTGCAATTTTTTTTATTTCAAAAAGTATAAAACCATGCAACATTACTAAATCACAGTTTAATCCAGAATTTGACATTTATTTCGTTTTTAAATAGTGTTTTATTTAATTATCATTCTAAACCAAATAGGGTAAGTGTATCAGTAGTCGGCACTTTTAGGATTTTCGCGTTTTTAATCGCTCACCATTCTTTGTGGAACTTTTCAATTATTACAAAGTTAATTTATTTAGATTCGAAATTTTGTATAGTTTTTGCAATAATAAAGTTTTAATAACTTTTTATTAAATTTCATAAATTTATAGTTTTATTAAAACAATGCTTTTTTGCCAGTTGTCGGCACCACTTGCCAATTGTCGGTATGGCATGTTCCAACAGTCGGTATACCAATTTTTTGGTAAGCATAATTAATAATAATAATAAATTAATTCATTAAAATATAATATTTTTGTTTAATTAAACTGATTCGACGTCTTTATCGTACTTTTCTTAAGAATATGGATTGTTGAGGACCTTCACAGACAAAAATTTAAATTTTATTAGAATAAATCATCTTTTCTTACCGAAATTGTACACAAAGATAGCTGACAATACATTTAGTTATAATAGTTTCATTTATTTGGGCTTAAAAATAAAAAGTGCCGACTACTGGGACATGTCGAACTTAGGCACACTTACCCTATAGGAAGAAAATCAAGAATAGTATGGTTACCTACAGTAACGTATGGATTTTCAATTAAAATAAAAATGAGATTAAAAAAAGAAAAAAAGTACCGTTCTTATGCCATGTTTACGTTAGAACTTTTTGTAGGGTTAACCTTCTTTGAGAGGATTTATTTGAAGTAAAAGTAATGGATATGACAATTTAAATCCAAATCCAGTGGGTTATATATATAAACGTACTATTATATTTGAAATTTGTGAATTGATCTTTCTCCTTAAGATAGCCAACATTTTTTTCTAAAACGTCAAATAGCTGTTTTTAAAAGCCTACTTAATTTAGAAAAGTTGGTCAAAAAGCACAAATAAAAGCAACTGCCGGCTCAAAACTATTTTTTTATTTGAGTATTTTTTGGATTATTTTTTAATACTTTTCTCAAGTTTTGGTGAAATTAGTCAAAAATGATATTTTTCTAGTAATCGGCACCCCCTGCCGACTTTTTCCAGATCTCTTTTTTGTCTGTTCCTAATGTCGGCATTAATTAATATAACAGAAAAATGCTTGATTTGTATGTTTTCAAGTTATAAAATGATCTTTAGACTGTTATATACTATTATAAAATATTTCTGATTCCAAAAGTATTAAATTTAATTTACTTAAATCGATTATTAAGTTGACGGCACCACTATTTTTTTCTTTACAAACATGCACTATCGCACGCGTTGGAAGACACTCACTGACGAAAACCGTTATTCTCTCGTAATTAATGATCGGAGCTCATTGTTTTTTTTACAGAAAAAGAGCAGAAAACACTGTTGACGTTTTTTTGAAATTATTTCATTATTTGGTCAATTATATTCTTAGTTATTTAAGTTTAAATTTCAAAACTGCCGACTACTGGGACATGCCGAACTTAGGCGCACTTACCCTATATGAGTTTTCAAAATATTGATCTCTTGTCAAGGGGTACCAAAAGGCGATGATCATTTTGACGTTGGAAGGAGCAGAAACCTTGAGACGTGGGATGTTTGAAAATATCAGGTACTAATTTCAGAATTTATGGAAGTTATTCAGAGCTAAGATTTCATTGTTATGATTCGCAAGTTAAAGACACTCTAAGAGAACTATTTATACACAAAGTTAACTGTATTGTTTTATGTACGAGCGCTCGCTATATACTTTTGTTTTGAAGAATAGGAGTGAGAGTCAAAATGCACGAATCAGAATTCGTATAGTGCATACCTTTGCATACTTACAAATATAAGAAAGTTATGGCGAAATCTAAAAGAGTACCCGCAAGAGTAGATTGTGCTTAATTTCTTGCAAATTTTACTCCCACTCATAAACGGTCGAAGCATTATTGTTCTTCTTCGAGTGTCATAGAAAAGGAGAGTATATTCGATTTACTCAAAGGAGTACTCCTGCTCGAATTCTGTGAGTGAATAAATAAAATAGATCTCTCTTCGTTTTCTATGTCCCTCGGAGCGAGTATGCGTTACTCGTTTTCGAGTGGGAGTAGAATTTGTTTGAAAATGAGCAGATTCGACTCTTACCATTTTCTCTTTTAATTATACCCTACAACATTATGTGTTGGGAATTTATAAGTTTGATTGGGCCAAAAATTAGGTTACACCTCGAAATAAGGTCGCACTTATGGCCTGATCCTCACGAAATTTTGCATGAAGGTGGGGTTATGGTCATAATAGAAGCCTATTGCTCTTAGGGGTTGAAATGGGCGAGAAACTGAAAAATGCCTGATTTTGCAGTTGTTCTATAGGCCACAAATATGAACCAATCGACACCAAAATTTATATGGAGTTAGAGTTTAGGACTGGACAAATACATTAAAAAGTTACTCCTGATCATTAAGGTGGTGCTGATAGCCAAGACATCGGATATATAGAAAAATAGGAACAATATATATTTAAAAGAAATATATCTTATTTATTCTGCTTATAAGTCAAGAACCGCTAGGCCGATTTTCACAATTCCTATCAATTCGGAATGGTCTCTTACTGGAAAAGGATAAAATCTAAGAAAATCGCGGAAAAATATACCAATAAATGAGTGAGTATCTTTTGTTCCATTTTTTTTTTTTCAATTTTTGTCATATTTTTTACAGCATGTGATTTTTATACCCTACACCACAAGGTGGTCAGGGTATTATGTCTTTGTGCATTTATTTGTAACAGGCAAAAGGAAACGAGATAGACCCATAGTTCCTTTTGATGATCTGCATAGAATCACATTCTGGGTCGATTTATGCATGTCCGTCCGTCCGTCTGTCTGTCCATGTATTTTTTTTAAACAAAGTACAGTTCGCAATTATTGTACTATCTAGATGAAATTT